CAGGTGACGCCAGTGAAGCTGTTGTTGTACGTCTCATCTTAGTTTCTGTTAATCAGCTGATATATACCATAGATTTATCTGAAAATGAGGAATCATCGCGTTGTCTATGAACTTCACTTTACAAAACACAAGGATTAAAAAAAATATAGTAATTTATTAAACATTGTTGAAAAGGTCCATTTTTTGAGTTTCTTTTAATGAGGTTAAGTTTTCAAAGTCAAAAAAAAACGTGGCGACCCCTCACTTTGTATTCTTTCGAATGAGACTATTGAAAAACGAATTTTCATACCATTTCTTGATATTTGAAAGCTTTCCCATGTAGTCCAATTATGAAACATTGATATATGGGATGCTTTATACATAGTTTCATTAGATATTTAAATCACTATTCCGATTACGGTTATATAGCCGATGCTGTTCCTATAGCTGTGAACAGTTATGTATTTGCTCTTGCACTGGATGAAGTTTTGTACATTGGATTAATTCTTGTTGTTTTTTCTATTTTGAAAATGCTTTTATTGAAGTATTGTAAATTTATTCTGTATGACATATTAAATACAACAAAGGTTTTAATTTTAAATGATAGCTTTAAATTCACGATAAATACAAATTGAAAATCTTATTCCCAAACGAAAATAGTTTTTGTTTTAAACTAACATTCAAATTTGTATGAAACTAACAATGGAAGTGTGTGTATTGTTGAGCGAAAAAGTGGCACATGTTCGGGTCAAATGAAAGCTCTCAACGCCAAACTAACAAGGTTAAAATATTAGCTGCCATTGGCTTGCCTAAAGGGAGATATTTAACTTTTAAGTGTAGGTGTAAAAGTGAATCAGGAAAGGTTTTCTCCACTATTATAAGGACAAAACATAGTGTTGTTCGGGCCATATGAAAGAGGGATCCTACAAACCCTATAATCGGCCCGAACAACACTATGTTTTGTCCTTATAATAGTGGAGAAAACCTTTCCTGATTCATTTTTACACCTACACTTAAAAGTTAAATATCTCTCTCTAGGCAAGCCAATGGCAGCTAATATTTTAACCTTGTTAGTTTGTCGTTGAGAGCTTTCATTTGACCCGAACATGTGCCACTTTTTCGCTCAACAATACACACACCTCCATTGTCAGTGTGGTTTGACCTTTCTCCGTTTTTTCTGATTCGTTTTTTTTTGTTATTCACTAACAGAATGTAATATTTTATGTGAAATTTAAGTATATTTCAAGCAGTTTGTTTTAATCCACTTGTATGTTCCTAAATAATAATAAAAACGCATAATCGCATATATATATATATATATATTTAACAATAGATCTCAACAATATTAAAAGACGAGGAAAAACTTATGTTTTAACCCATTTGTAAGTCTGGATATATAGAGCTACTATTATGTTGTAACAGGTCATCTTAGCAACGAGGATGTTTATGTGGTACTCGTTATGATTTACTATTCATTTGAATTAGAAACAAACTTAAATACAGGTTGCGCGCTTTCTGCTAACTCACACATATGTAATGATAAACTATTTATAAAAAAGATAGATGTTTTGAGAGAAGAACATTGTTTGCTTATTTCTGGTTTTAAATTATGAGTGATTAATCTACGCTTACGAAAATTTAATAAATCCAAAAATAAATCTTTAGAAATTTCAATTGATTTGAAAACCTAAATTTTAAAAAGTTAAATTTATTTTACATTTAATATGAAATACGCATATAAGCTTCATGAAAAGAGTTATTTAGTATGAGTAGAATGTATATTATGAAATATTCTTTTATTTAGAGACAATTGATTACCTAAACTTTACCTTATGTATACTTTATTTTACTGATAGAATAATAAGAGGCAAAGATCTTCATCTGTTCGACTGTCACATACTATATGCACATACTCTAAGAATACTGTAAGACAGTGGCATCATTCCGTTTCGATTGTTTATCTCTTTCGTGTACTTTCTTCTTCCTGTTCGTATTCACAACTATTAAATAGATAATCTCTAAAGTAATACAAAAATATAGAATTATTTATTCATTTAGTGTTTCCTGCGAATTCTAGATTTACAGTATTGACCATGCCGGCATCCATTGGAAGATAAAATATTAAACAAAAAGAAAATTAGAAAACTTTCGGAAAGCATATGACTAAAGCGAGACTTCTCTTCTTCTTCCTTGAATGTTTTTTTTTCTGAATGACTAACAACAAGGTGAAATGTTCGAAAACTAACAATAAAAATTTGAACATTGAAATAACGAAATTTTTTTGAATATTACTATTGATGGACAACTTATGTAACTTTTATTTACTAAAGGTATCGAATAGAAAGATTGTCTTTTTTTCTTAAGGTTTTATTAGAACAAGGCAATAAACAAATATTAGAACAATATAAAAATGAAATTCGTGAACAATCTCATCAATATTTTTAAAAAATGTCGTTGTCAAGTATGTCTGATTAAACGAGATATAATTATTATTTTGACTAATTTATATTCGATTTCTTTTCAAAACAAGAATATTTATTTTTTTGATGATCTTACAGATAGTTCAATAAGAGAAAGATCAATTAGTTCATATATGTAATATAGTATTTAAAAGAATAAAATTCGTCACATTCATTGAATTCAAATCAGAGATGTGCCGAAAGAAAAAACTTGGAGAGGGATTCTAGGTATAGATCTTCGTATTCCCCCTCTGGACGAATTTCTTGCATTGAGATTTTAAAACAAAGCTGTTAGATCAATTTTACTATAGCAACGCACTACTTTTCGAAAGTGCGATGGTTCGGACCTCCTGTCCCCCCCCCCCCCATCGGCACATCTCTGATTAAAAACATGGCGAATAGTATGTCATGGGATTTTGCATGTGACCAATTTTTTTCTCATTTTAGAATATATATGATTTTGTATCGTTTCAAAAATTTGTTGAACAATAGAACTGAATGTTAAATACAGCAAATATATCAATTGTGTCTCTCACTACATCCGACTTCTACCTCATTAAACTAAACAAATCAATTGTTGGTCTATATTTGGTAATGAAACTGTAAAAAAGAAAAGCTATAAAATTCAGAATTTCAATAATATTTGCCTTGTCTATTTAATTTCAAAATTGAGTCTATCATGATTCATGGGAGTATTAAAACAATACGTTACTATGTGGGCACCCTCCGATTTCAACATACTCGTTCTGTTGATATATATGATTCAATGGAGTTGACCAAGAAAAATACTAGCGGGACAATTTGATCTCCTATACATCTTTTGTCTCTTTTAATAGTCTCATTCTAAATAATTTCATTATACATAAAAAATCAATCATTGCAGACAATATTCTATTTGAATTTAAATACCTAACATTATTCACTTGATTTTTCTTTAATAAGGTTCAATTTTAAAAGAATAATCAAAGAATATTTTAATCAATTAAATTTAATTGAATTTCTCTTCTCTTTTCTTTTCTTCTTCAATCAATCGTTCTTGATAAAACGTTTGACATTTGATAAAAATCTTCGATCTTTTGAAATTTCAAAAGTAAAGCAACAAAAAGAGAAAAAAAGGCCATTCTCACATCATCACCA